TGTATCTTTACTTTTTGCCATTTTTGTTGCTCCAAGTGGCAATAAATTGAGCTATTATCAAAAGACAAAGAAATTAGAGACTCTTGAATCTAGACTAGAAGCAAGAAAGGAATTGAGAAAAATGAAGAAGGCTTCATTTTTGCCTCTATATATACTATCTACTTAGAATTTATGTAGCAACATTCTATAGAGCCTCCAAAAACGTGTTGACTTTGCATAACACGTATCTTAACTTGTAAGGCAAGTTTTCTATATGGCCACCATATAGTTAGCTTATTCTACAAGCTACCAATATACTTGGCATATGGATAGTTAGTTGAATAAGTTTCTAACCAATGAATCAATTACAAACATAAGTAAAGTCAAAACAATGTCTAAAAAGCTTCTAGGAGGCTTTTCTAGAAGATATTATGAAATTAATTTATTTTTATTTAATTCTACCTATCTAGATAACAAGTAGGTATATATTTGAGACAAATTATTCTATTGATCTTTAAGAAGGAGCTCAACCACCACTTGGTCTAGTCTATAGCCTATCATAAAATGAGTTCGCTCTACTCAAGGAATAAATTGACAAGAATTTAGCTAAGAATTTCATATGCCATTCAAAATCTTGGATAAAAGTTTGTATCTTATTTATGAAGAAAAATAATAGATCCCTATGGATGTACATAGTCTATTAATGATTCAACAAAAGTACCATCAAAAATAGGTATCTCTTATTCCAAATTTCAAGACTTTTTGACCAATTAAATCAAACAAAGAACTATATAAAAATAAATCTATAATTAGTATGTAATATAGTCTGTATGAAAGAAAGAAATGAACAAAAGACTATTTTGAATTAAATATAGACATTTCAAATATAATGATATGGATTCATAAATATACCAATTATTTTTCAACATCTTATGAATGATATTTTTTGTGAATTTCTGAATAATTTTGTTGTCTCTTATTTGAATGATATCTTAATATACTTTAAAAATATAAAATAATATAAATTTTATATTTATCATGTATTAAAAAAACTAAGAGATACAAGATTATATGCTTTTGTATTACGTGTTGTCTTGTTTGAAAATACATTGGGCACCTAACTGTAGAAGGTGAGGTTATTTTTCACAAGTATCCGAGAAATCCTAATAGGTTTCATCCATATAAGAAGAATATAATCTGAATTTCAATTCAAAATTCCTAAAAAACACTCTTCTTAGTAGCTTCAATCATACATAAATTCCAATTACCTTGTTACTTTCATATATAAGGAATTTAGATTTTTCTTATAAGCCCTAATGCTAATCAATGAGCTTTGATAAGCTATAACTTCTAATTTTACTATCCACTTGATGTGAAATTTTTTATGCAATTGTCAATATAAGTCTTCTATATGCTCAAGAAATTTTAGCCTAATTCAACTTACAAATTGTGAGAAAACTTCCAAAAACTATACTAATGTCACTCAGCTGTGAACTTGAAAGATGATGTAAAAGTTCCAGTAGTGATTTTTCCTTCTTCAACTATTAACTTTAATTCAAAATTGGTATATAGCTTGATCTTTAAGTCTTCCAATATCATGCCAAATTTTACCTTGATCTAACTTGTAGATCTCTAGATATCATAGAAATCCTATCCAATCCTAAATTACCAATTTTTGGTATATTCTTGTATCAAAACCTAGATATTTCTCAATTGCACCATTGAATTATCAAAAAAAAATTCATACACTTAGAACACCTAATTAACCAAGAACTATCAAAATTTGAATCATAGATGTGACATCAATTTTATGAACTAGCTGAGAGTGCTAGCCCTGATTTCATTCCCTAAATCCGAAGTTGCTAATACAAACCCTGACTTCCAACAACAATTGCAAATTTCCTAAAAATCCTATCAAAACCAACCTTACATCTCTAGAATAAGCTCCAACCTATTTCTCAAACTTTAATCTCTAATCTTCAAATAAATCCCTATTTTATCCTAAGCGGTTGTTTTAGTAGCCAAAGGTCTGATTATGATCATGTCTCACAAACAATCGATCTCTGAGTATCAATCTAACCTATCCTAAGGATTTTTCAATCCAATCCTATCATCCATTTAATCCTAGTATCAACAATATTAATTATTTACCTCTTTTAATCTCATTTTATCAATTTATGGTCTTTTTAAGGTAATAAAAGAGTCTCTATAGCCTAGAAGATAAAAGTATTAACTAACCTTAAACCTACTAACTATTGAGATAAGAAAATAACCTAAGAGGCTTTTATAAAAGTAATATTTAGATACCTCAAATTATTATTGAACCTATATAATTAGATATTAATTAAAAATTCATATTTAATTATAGTTTCACTATATAGTTGTATTACATCATGACAATAATAAGATAAAAAATTATATATTTCATATTACTTAAGTTGACTTCTTAGGATACATCATTTTAAATAATGGCCTTATAATATATTCTAAAAATATTCATACTATGAAAGATTGGAAGATTTTAAAAATAATTAAAGATGTACAATATTATATTGGCTAGTCAATTTTTTTTTTCCAACAATTAATATTGATTTATAATAAAGAGCTTCTTGTAATTGTAGATTCATCTCAAGAATGGAATCATTATTTAGAAGGTACTTTCGATCTAGTTACTATATATAGATATTATAAGTACCTTAAGTACTTTATATCACCACATGTTTTGAATTGTTTCCAAATTTTTTGAAGAATATCTTTATTGAGATTTGATTTTAAGATCAAATATCATCTCAAAAAATAATAAGATTTATCAAATGTTCATTTTAGTCATTCTTAATTTATATCAAAAGAAAGAGATGTATCTTTTAATCAATAAAAAAGAATTTTCATGAAATTGAAATATTTTCATCTTAAAATAATAAAATCAATATTAATTGTTGATTTAAGTTTTTTCAAGAAAGTTCAATTAAGTATGTCCTCTAATCTTTTTGTTCACGATATTAAGAATAATTCTTCTAAATCTCAAAATACTTCTAAGTTTAAATTCTAAAACAATCTATTCTATTTTGAGGGACATTTATACATTCCAAAAGATAAAGCATGATTATATGTTTTTTGAGCTTATCATAATTTTCTAGCAATTGGACATTTGAATATAATAAAATTTTGGAGCTAATATCTAGAGATTTTTAGTAGCCTCAAATATAAAAAGTAGTCAAAGACTTTGTGTAATCATGTGAAATTTTTTCAAGAATAAAAACTCTTCATCATTGATCTTATAGACTTCTTAAGTCATTACCTATTCAAAAACAATCATAGTCTTTTGTTTCTATGGACTTTATTATAGACCTTCTAGTCTCTAGTTCTTTTAACTCTATATTTGTGATAATAGATTAATTCACTAAGATGGCACGTTTTGTACTATATACAAAATCTATTACAGATATAGAAATAATTAAGTTTTTTCTTGACAACATCTATTGCTATCATGAATTACCAAAAAATATTATATTGGATATGTGGACACAATTTTTATCAAGATTTTAAAATTTTCTTTTTAAGATTTTGAAGGTCGTTATAAAACTATCTTTGGCTTTTTATTTTCAAGTTAAAAGCCAAACAAAGTAAGTGAATCAAGTTTTAGAGAAATATTTAAGATATACTAATAATTACTTATAAAATGATTGAAAAATTCTTTTACCATTGGTAGAGTTTACTTATAATAATATGGTACATTCTTCTATTTAATAAATATCTTTTCTTTTTATTATGACTATTATTTATGACTAGATACTTTTGACTTTTCAAAAGTTGATAATTCTACAACGGAAGATTTGAAAAATTGTTTGTCAAAGCTATATGCAATAATAAAGATGCAACTAAAAGAAGCTCAAGAATAACAAAAGATTAGTGTAGATGCTTATCACAAGGAACCACCTCAATTCTATATTGGTGACAAGGTATGATTACTTTGTTGTAATATTAAATTTATTCTCCCTTCTAATAAGTTGAATTATTGTAGACTATGACCATTTCCTATATGTAAACAAATTAATTAAGTTACTTACCATTGTACCTATTGGAGTCTATAAAGATTCATCTTATCTTTTATATGTCTCTTCTTGAGCCATACAAGATAATAGATATACTAGGAAGATAACAAATACTACTTCCTCCTATAGAAATAGATAATAATCAAGAGTATGAAATCAAAGAAGTCTTAATGTTAAGATGGCATCGAAATATATTAGAATATCTTATTCATTGGTATAAATATGATATTAGAAAATGCACAAAGCAGCTACCTAAGAATCTTATAAATGTAATAAAGAAGATTGATATTTTTTATTGATATCATCAATCAAAATTAAGATGAAAGATAGCAAATCTTTGCTATAAAAGAACTACACTTTAAGAAAAATTGCATTTGACCTTCAATCTTTGTTTGTAATTTTTGTGTATATATAGCATTCAAGAAATGGAGAACCAAAAGTGAGAAGATTCAACTCAGGAAAGAAGAATGAAATCTTCTTCACTCTTGTCAATGCCTAACTAGTCTTTAATCTTGTTTCAAGACTTTCTAATCTTCTTATCTTTGACAATTGCCATTCCAATTTCAATACTATATTAATTTTTAATAAATATCTATTCTTTTTGAGTTATATAAGAGTGTATTGAATTTTTGGTTCTTTGAGGTCCATGTCCTTGATAGAATACAATGCACCAATACCATTATAAGGATATTTTAGAATACAAATTGATTCATATATTGCATGCATGTAATATCTTATTTCTAATTAATTAGATATCTTACTATAAACACATTATTATTAAATATTAATAGACATAGGATTAAAAATATATATAAATTTTTAAGAAAACATTTTTTTATAATAATTATACCTTTTATTATAGTTATAAAAATTTGACATATTATTGTGAAGATTGATTTTTTTAAAAAACTACTAAATATATAGAATTAATATATTTTCCATATATATATATATATATATTCCAAGGTCTCTTTTAATATTAATTTTATAACGATACCATGTGAAATTTAACATATATATAATTGATTTTTCCATTCTACAAAACGAGATGTATTAAACGGACATATCAATGTGAAATGTATACTAATACAAAGTATTTTTAACACTACTAACTATAGAATTTCCGGGCAATTCTTCAACATAAAATTGAGCAGGAAGCATAAATGTCTCCTTGTTCAAGGACTTTTTGACAAGAAACCAGTCTCTGTAGAAGTCCATCACTGCCCAACCTGAATTATTCGCCTGCCCAATCTGGTGCGACTTTAATGTGATTGAATAAGTCCTGGAATATCTCTCATGCTGAAATTCCACCAGAGCTTGATGAATCCTTTCTTCGTCTGCTTCTCCTGCCACCTCTGCCCCTTGAGAACCTGCAGTGTCTGGAGCTTCCCTCAGGGCATGATAAAGCTTCTGGGTGAGAATAATGGCGTCTTCTAAAGCCATGCCTCCTCCTTGCCCCATGTAGGGAGCAGTAGGATGACAGGCATCTCCTGCAACTGTTACATTGCCCTTAACTAGGTGGTCTGTAGTTTTGTTCAGGCGGTGGCGGATGCTGCCCTTCCAGAGATTCTCCACAGACGTGTTGTTGATGAGAAAATGGAGATCGGGTGATTGGAAAGTTTTAGAGAACTGCAGTGCCTCTTCTTTCACCTGCTCGGGAGGGGTGTCCCCAAAGCCTGCATCATTTTGGTGCATTAATACAGGTTCGTGAAACATACGAAAGCACGAAAAGAAGTTGAAACGCTTCCCTGAGAGCTTCACTTAAAATGAACAAAAACGATTCCGATGTGACGTAGTATCATGTGAAACGCTATCATGAGTTATTGCTGAGGTTGAACCTCGCAGCTGCTATGTGCACATTTGGTGTCCGCTTATCCAAGTGGCCAACTACACCCCAGTTAAGGATTTTTGTGGTGAGAAGTGACGCATTGAAAACAATCTCTTCCGATGCTTATAAGTAAAGGGAGGAGGAAGGAGATGACAGCAGTGGTGAATGGAATTAAGTGAACATCCCCAGCTCACCTGTTTCGGATTGGTTCTTGATGATAAACCAATAAGCTTTGGTGGTGTTCACGGGCAAAAATGCGCTACTGGTTCCTTTTCCTAAGAAGTAGTTCACATTAGGTTCAAGCTTGTGGCCATTTGGAATCATTGCCATTCCTCGAATCGCTACTTGACCTACTGCTTGTGCATTCTCAAGTCCCATCCAAGATCCTACGACGGATTTTTGGCCATCAAACCCGATTATAACCTGTAACAAAATCCTGCATTAGCATGGGTGTTACTGCACTGCAGACAACTCATAAGACTCTTGTTCACCATGAAAATGAAGCTCATATTCTTTTATTTTGTACATCCGTCATCCAAATGAAGAAGTATGCTGGCGAATAAACCAACCTTTGCGGAGTAGACAGTGCCATCCTGAAGCTCTACTTCAGTTAAACCCGTTTGTCTTTCTGATTGTTTGATTCCAGTAACTCGTGAGTTGAATCGAATGGTCCCTTCTGGCAACTCCCCGGCAAAAGTTTCAAGCAGAACTTGTCTTTCTACAGCCCGGACATCGTGTGGTCTGTTTTGGGAGATGCTTCACCCGATTAATGACTTCCATGATTCTACTCACGATTGTACTGAACCTCGCACAACAGCTAAAGTACAATCCTATAAGTTTTACCACAATCCATTCTGAATACAACAACTAGTTCTATCATGAAGACCTTACCCTCCTTCACATTCAGCTAACACCAATTTTCCCAAGGGCTTTGCACTTGCATTCATTATCTTCCATCTGCAGGTGCATGAGTAAGCTGGAGTTAACGAAAAAGTCAAGTTCATAATAGCTTTTTCATGTTTGAGCATGTTTTACCAGGAAATAATTTAACGTGTGGCAACGAGTTATCGAAGGACAGAGTTGGGGATTGGGGGGGGGGGATACTCCTGAATGTTGGTGTACATGGTTCGGAATTTTTCACCCACACCAAGAACATCGAGAACGCGGAATGCGTTAGCCCACAGAGTGATGGAAATACCCCCGGATCTCAATGTATTTGCTTGCTCCAACACAACAGCCTTCAGGCCGACTCTGATTAAGGACGTGGGAAAGAAACTCATTAGATTTGGAGGGTCATGGTAGTGATGACATAAAGCGAATTGCGAATTTCCAAAATGCCTGAATGTGTAACTGGAACTCAGAATATTAGCTCCAAGAAACTATTCAATGAGAAATTGACGACGTGGGGTTGCAGCAATTTACTTGTGAAGAGCCACGGCACAAGCAAGGCCTCCAATACCGCCACCCACAATCACAATGTTCTCGTCATGGTGGATGCCGTTTCCATTGCCATGTGGATGATCATCTTTGTTCTCCATACTTGAAATGCAACTAATATGCCAGAAACCGCAGAAAAAGGCACTGAATATTTGTTGCTCGAGAACAGTTGATGAAAGTTCACAGTCCTCCCAGTGGATTCAACAAAAATAAAGAACCCAACGAGGAAAGGAGAAAAGGAAAGTTAAACTAGCTGCCACCTTGCAGACGGTTTTCTCGGCACTCATAATAATCCAACCAGAGACGCGGTGTTGACGCTCTGCACACCACCCACACTTGCACGAGGAGAAGAGGTGAGGGCTCCTACGAACCCAGTAGCAACAGTGGAGCACCTCCACTGATCACAACACTCTGGACTTATACAACTTCACTTCAGAAACTTAACTCTAGAACAGAAACCCAAGTACGCACAGCAGCTTAACATTCTCAGTAGCCATTAACTGCCTACAAACAGGATTCAACACATCTTAAGCACCCAAAAACTGGAAGCTGCTTGCAAGATACGCGGCCCTAATGCGACTGTCCAAAAGGCACGTGTCTCTTTTCCTTCTAACTAGTCCATTCCCAAGACGTGCTAGAAGAGTAACCTCCGTGGGCATGGGATCGAAATCTGCTGCAAGGATGGTTGGAGTGAGCAGCTTCGCCAACTTCTGGTGGTGTAAGGGACGGACAGGACTCTGCAAGAATGGTCGGTATGAGTAACTTCGCCGAATTCTGGTGGTATGGGACATGGACATCATTATGCAAGAGGGCTGGCGGAGGACGCAAAATGCACCTTTTGAAAATTTCGATGTACTGGTTGATGTGAGTTCAGAGCGTTGTTTCGCTGCCAATGTGCGGCTTTCATTGCAAGGCCTCTGGAAACAACCTGCACCCACGCTGGGCCCTGTATGATGCAGCCACTGTAGTCCATCGAAAGCCGAACTGCTGTTCTTTACCACCCACATGAGAAAAGCATGAGAAAAGGTTGGAGGCATTTCTTCACAGATCTTGAGAACTAAGGTGAGTCAGGGACCTTTTTTTTTCTTCAATCTGTATTTCTCTTCGTGCTCATTCAATTAAGGACTGTGGTAATCACTCAAGTATTTTCCAACGCAATTCATCCCTGTTGGCAATTAAATATTTCCTCTTACCGATTGTTTTCTTACTAGTTCAAGTGTGTTATTCCGTTGTTTCTGCCTGTCTAATCGGTATTTTCAATTCCTCAGTGCTGAGAATTGCAATAAGGTGTTGTGTTTCTTTTAAAACTTGGTAACAAGAATGATTTCAAAAAAAAAAAAAAAAAATAGTTTGAAAAGGCTTCGTCAAGAATACAGAGTACAAGTTTTTTTGTGTGAACTAAATCACTCTCATCGAGAATAATGTCAGTTTAAGGTAGGCGTTGAGTTACATTTCCATATATTGAAAGTGGTGGTCACTTTCTTTTTCATGTGGCTGCAGAATCTAACTACATGTGCAGAGGTATAACAGCACCCCCCTATGTACTAGCCGGGGTCCGATTCTTCGGCTAAGCAGTATTTTAAGACGATTCAGACGATTCAGCACAGTTTGTTTTGGCACTATATCAGGTAGACGACCCATTTCAGCAGTAAGTGTAAAAAATTAACAAAAAAAAATAAATAAATAAAACTCCATGTAGGAAACAGAAATATGACACTTTTTTCAAACACTTTTTTCTACCCTCATGTGGTCATATCATGTGGTTCAAACTTCACGCGTACCCGGCGTCTCCACCAAAGAACCTGTCGACCGCTAATCTTTTCAAGGGTCGATAGAAACGCCCATCCCAGACTTCGTTTGAGTGCGAAGGTCATGGAGAACCCACATGAGGCGGTCGCGAAATGTAGTCAAGGCAGTTGGACCGAACGCGAGTGGCTGAGTTTATGACATTAGCAACCCTAGACGCGCCGCTGTGTGCCGCGTGAGTTGCTAGCCGCAAACGCTGAGAAACGTGTAACAAGCACCCAAATACCTGCTGTAACAGGTTTCCATTCATCGTTTTATAATGACGCATTACAGGTGGTTTAGTCTTGTCTTCTGACTAAGCAGGAGGCTCATGCCGTCTGATAGGCGGAAGCAGGATTACGACTGGTCCTAATTCTTATCCCTCCACGATGTCTTTGCGGGAAAATATTTGTCCTGTTCTTTAAGAAGAGTTGATACTATTAATAAGGTTTGCGTCGCAATTAGACAATTGGATCCTTGCACCTAGGTTCGATCAATCATTGTAACATCTTCTGATGTGGACATTGGACAAGCTCCGCTTTTTGTCTCACCGACGAGACGGTCCACGGTGAAGGTGGTGACACAATATGGATATTCATGTGAATAGACCTTGCTAATTAAGTTCAGTGTTTTTTTCGAAAAAAACCCTAATCAATTTGTTTTTTGTACTCTTCTTATTTGGAGGCAGGTAAAAAAAAATCCCTTGACTTACCTAGTCGTTAATGCTGCATACCCTTGTTTGAAGAATGGAACTGACCCTATCTTTACATAGTACAGATTATGCTTAATCAGGAGAAAAAGTTTTGACGACTCAGGACCCTGGAGCCGGTATGACCGAGGATGGCCTTGAAAAGAACCTTGGTACCATTGTCAAATCGGTGATATCAGGTGCGTGTGAATTAAGTCAATGTCAACAGCGGCACTTGACGTGTGTGTAATTTCGAACAATATTGGTTTTGTGATTGCACCAGGGAAAATTACCATGACATGTTAATTGCTTTGTCTAAGATCAGTCGATCTAAATCAGGTAAAAGCAGGATGAATAATTGGTGCCCTGTCATCAAAGTAAGATAGTGATTAATAGAATGACGTTGCAGTGCGTTTCATTCAACAATCCCTCTTGCACACAATCTTCACACCAGCAGCATGTCGACGCACAAATTATTTTTGCCCCATGCCGTTTGAGTTCTCCAGACGCAAGTTGATGAGTTGAATACAATGAGTGTTTCCTTGTCTTTTGTAATGTGGGTTTCATCTTTAGTGTTGAAGTGAGTATAGGCTTTCCTTCAATTTGAAATTTAACATTTATACAGTGGGAGATTTTCTTGAAGGGTTTTGTGGATTTTCTTTGTTTTGCTCCATCGTCTCTAGACCTTGATACTGGTTCGGACAGTTAATCATTTGTTCAAATCTTTAAGGCTCTCTGATCATGCGGTTTGTGGTCAAGTTTCAACTCCCTCTGAAGCGCGATCCGAGGAAGTATTGCCTCGCTACTTCTGTCTTGTGAGTCTTTCGCACGTTCAGCCTCCCATTTCTCCATCATTTGAGAACCATACTCCCTCTTCTTGTCAAACTGGTTCAATAACATCTGCTCCTTCTGAAGCAAAACAATTACCAAGATCTAGTTCTTAAGTATCTATGGGAAAATACAATGATTCTTGATTTTAGGAGAATTATTTTGCCAACTATAGCAAATGGTAGAACAACAGGTATAGCAAGCTTAATCCAAGGGCTCCAGATTTCAAGCACAAAGTTACAAAAAAGAGGCTTTTAATTGATAGCTGTACAAATCTAAAATAAATTAGGATTAAATTTATCTGATTTCAAATATAGTTTTCACTATAGTGAATCTGCTCATGCATCTTATTGCACAAGCTATATCAACTCATAGAATTGTAGTATAGATTAGAGACTTAAATAGTGCTTGATATAGCTCTTTGTCAAAATATTTTTCTTTTGTATTAAGTTTTAATTTTTTATTTGAATTAATTAGAAACGTGCATCAACTCTAATTACTTGAAATATTTGAAGTAATAACAAAATATATCTTCTTTGATGAAGTCAAATTTTTTGCTTCAAGTATTTTATTTTTGTTCCAAGATACAATTTAGTATCTCTTAACTTTGTCATTTCAAATGTATAAAGTAGATCTTTTGTGATATAATTGATTTCTTCTTCATTGTCTTGGATTATCAAGAAGTCATTGATATATAATAGTATTATATTGTATTTTCTATTTATTATTGAATAGTACAAATTATAATCAATATTTCTATATATCAAATTATAAGATAATAGAAATAAATCAATACAAAAGTAGTAGGCCTTAAGAGCTTATTTTAATCCATATAATACAAGAACTAATCCAATCACAATCTTTATTTTTTTTTGGTTAATTTAGATGTAAGTATATATATATATATATATATATATATATATTATTATTATTATTATTATTAATTTATTTTGAAAAGCTATGATAGTATGAAATTGACAAAGATTCTATCTTTTTTTAAAAGCCAATTTCAAAATATATCAAATAGTACTCCAATATACAACTAGTAGTGTTGAAAAAACTTCTTTTTTGCTTTTTATTGGTATTTTATAACAACAAGTCTTATTTTCTTCTTGATGGATCTTTTCTTCTCGCCTTGTTTTATTTTATATCTTTCTTGTGCCCATGGCTCTTTTTTTAAGAGAAAGGTGATATATTATCTAAGTTTAATTTTTCTTCAATCAATTTTTTTTTAATTGAATAACTACTGTTTATTTTAGATCCAACATTGCTTCTATAAAATTCAAGGGTTATTTATCTATCTTAGTTACTATAGCTCAATAATTTTAAAATTTACTTAATAGTCTTTTTTTTCTAACTAACTTTAATTTTGAGAAATAGACATTTGTTTCTTTAGTTCATTTGATTTGATTTTTCTTTTCTTTTCTATTTTAATAATTAGAGTTGATTTATGTGGTGTGATAATATTCTAAGTTATTGGACAAGTTTTTGAGGAATTTCAACTAAAAATAAATAAATTAGTCTTAATTTTTTTTTTCATCACATATCATATCTTTGTATATAATTACATGTTATATAAAATAATTAAGTATTCTAATTTTTAAATTTTTTTTAATTATATGCCATGAGAACATACTTAATAGTTTAACTTTCCAATTTATTCCTACTTTATTTATGTACATATAAAAAAATAAGGCACCTAAAGACTTTTAAAAAACTTACATCTAATTTCTTGTTACTATATTTTTTATTTTCATTCCAAGATAAATAAATAAATAAATAAATAAAAATAGAAAAGTTGATAGTTTTATTCCATAAATATCCTTGTAACTTATAATCTAAGATCATAGATCTTATCCATTTGAAAACACTCCAATTTTTTCTCTTAACTACACTATCTTGCTTTAGAATAAGTACTTAAGTAAGTTGTTTCTATTGTCCATTTGAATCATGATATGCCTTAAATTTACTAAATATAAATTCTCTTCTACAATTTATTCTTAGTGTCTAAATTTTCTTTCTTCTTATTCATTCAATGAATTCTTTTAGGTTACTATATTTTTAAAATATTTTAGATATTACTTGTAGAAAAAATACTTAAGATTTTTTTAAAAAAATCATCCATAAATATAATAAAATAAAATAAATCTTGCAATATAGTCTCAACATTAGTCCAACCAAATCAAATTAAATTAGTTGTAAGATCTTTGATACTTTGTATACATTACTTTAAAAAATTCTTTCTTTATATCATTTTTTTACCAAGAATCATTGATATATATATATATATATATATATATATATATATATATATACATAGTTTAGTAAATACCTACATGATTAGATAGAAGTAGATAAAAGTAGATATAAATAGATTAATTTCATAATATCTTCTAGAGAAGCTTCCTAAAAGCTTCATAGATGCTCTTTTGACTTTATATGTATTTATAGCTGATTGGTAGATTAAAAACTTAGTCAATAAGTTAACCATGCATTGATAGCTTGCAAAATAAGCTAATTATGTG